TATGTTGATAGGAGGAGGCTAGATCGGGTATCCGAGCACGGGAGATTATCCGATATCGTACGAGGTGAGTCTTCTCACTACACTGTACCTAGAGTGGTACCTATGTGTGACCGGAAGGTCTTATATGCTATGAGATGTATGTACTGTATGCTGTTATGTGATATGTATGTGCTATGTATGTTATGAATGATAAGGACCGGAAGGTCATCATGATGTGGACCGGAAGGTCGGGATGATATGGACCGGAAGGTCAGGATGATATGGACCTGAAGGTCATTACGGGTAGGGCCGGAAGGTCTACCAGAGTTGTGGGACGGAAGTCCTCTGAGACACAGAGACCGGAAGGTCTTATAGCCTTGAGTGGCGTATGTGTGTATTGGTATTTTGGGGAACTCACTAAGCATTTATGCTTACCGTTTATGTGATATGTGTTTTAGGTACCAGCGAGGATCGCGGGAAGGCGCCGACATGATTTGTACACACTGAAGGAGTTTGACGTATTGAGATTCTGGGATATGTTTTGTTATGATAACATTGGATACATTATGTTTCGATATTACCTTATGAATAAAAGTATGTTTTAAAATTGAAAAATTGTTTTGGAAATTTACGTTGTTACAACAAAAGTCAGAGACTTCTTTTGGAGCTGCCCAACGCTCATGAGATTTGATGTTAGAGATGACACATAGTAAACTTCAGTAACCACCTGTGTTATATTGCCCACAGTAATTCAAATATTCCTCTTTCCCTTCACCTCTAACTTGTGATCGTTTCCCAGTCTGACCTTGTGTTGATACGTCTCATCAAGGTGGATAAACCATTCTTTAGTACCCGTCATGTGATTTGAACAAGCTGAATCAAGAAACCAGAGCCCTTTCTTGTTGGGTTTATCTTCTTTTATTGTGGTCATCAACATCTCAGTTTCTTTCTCATATGCTTCAATGTCAACCGCCGCCATCAATAATAGTTCTTCATTATCTTCAAATTCGACATAGTTTACTTGCGGAGCATCATTCAGACATTCATATTGAAAATGTCCAAACTGATGACATCTATAACATACAATTTGAGACTTATCGAATTGAACCTTGTTTTCGCTTTGTGGTCTTCCTCGTCCACGCCCTCTTCCTCTGGCAGTGTTTCCTCTGCCTCGACCCCTTCCTCGTCCAGAGTTGTGGTCGTGTTCCACCTTTAGCACGTGCTCGTCATTCACTTTTCTTCTAATTTTTTGTTCGTGAATCAACAGGGAACTTTGGAGTTCATCTACTATCATGTTGTCGATGTCTTTTGACTCTTCGATTGTACAGACCACAAAATTGAATTCTTCTGTCATGGTTCTTAGCACCTTCTCTATGATTTTCACTTCACTCATGTCTTCCCCCGCATTCCGCATATCATTTGCAATCACCATGACCCGTCCAAGATAATCGATGACTGTTTCTCCAGATTTCATCTCCAGCGTCTCGAAATCCCTCCGAAGTCGCTGTAGTTGAGCCCGCTTCACTCTGACGTTTCCTCTGTATTTCAAATTCATCGCGTCCCAAATTTGCTTCGCCGTCTCCTTCTGCTTGATCGTCTTTAGAATCGATTTGTCTATCGATTGTAATAGATAGTTGCAAGCTTTCAGATCTTTGAGCTTATGTTCTTCATAATTTTTCTGCTGCGTCACTGTTGCTACCTCTCCTGGTTTGATTGTGTGATACCCTTCATCCACCACTCGCCAATACTCTTTTGATCGGAGAAGATTCTCCATCACCATACTCCAATGGTCGTAGTCTCCGTCAAATTTGGGTATACTAGGGCCATGAAACTGTCCTGTTTCCTCCCCCATAACAGCGATTTCTTGCTCCTCTCAGAACCTCTCGTGAATGGAATTATGCTCTGATACCACTTGTTGAAACAAGTGATAACAAGTATGAAATTGACTCACAATATCTGATGATTATTATTGAGAGTGAAGGGGCTTTTTTATAGCCAGTACAAATTAACAACTGGAAAATAAACGGGAAAAACTAAGAGCTAAACAGAATTGACTAAACGTTCTCTAATTTCACGAAGAAGAAGGGGATGACCAGGTAAACCGGGTTACCAAATCAACGACTCATGGCTTGGGCCTTATTCGAACTGGACTCAACTGATCTTGGGCTAATAAAAAACAAACGGACTAACCCAATACTTACTGTGCAGTACGATGCTTGATGCTTGATACAGACCCGGTGAGGAGGAAAGGAAAGAAAAGGATCCTTGTCGGCGACTCTTACTGATTACGTGAGTTCCTTACCAGTTTTAATCAGGTATATTAGATTAGATTATTTCTCCAAGTTTGTTTGTTCATAGGTGATCCCTCTTACAGTCGCCAAATCAATAATACGTGAAGTTGCATCTGTTCTATGAAGGCGATTCAAATATCCAATAAATTTTATATCTACTTCCTGAGTTTTGCCTGTATATACATTGTTGTGCTATTGTTTCTTATACATTAAGCAAATTTATCCATTTTAGATTTTGTTCTCATTTTTGCACTAAATTAGGTTTTCAGTTGAACTGACTGGCCTTTGGTGTTCATTAAATGAATAAGAAGGCTTCATTTGTAACCAATGGATTTTTGGCTTTATGAGCTTTACCTCTGCGTTATTACACTTTCCTATATATAAGTGAAACTGTTGAATTTCAAATTACAATATTTAAGATACTTAATACTAATTATGAACTTTGAATGTTGAATTTACATCAGATTTTATTTCAATTCTATGAGTGAACAAGGTATAATCAACGTCTCATCGTAGTTTCAAACATTTTTCAGGATCAGGTGCTTTTGGGCATGCAACAAAAACTTGACAATTTATGTGAACAGGTGAATTATTTCAAGGATGAGCCTGAATGATTCTACACATGCCTTTCAGCAGGTAATGTAACTAACATCACAGATTCTTAGTAATCAAAAGATATTTAATAAGAACTCACAAAAATTCTTACATGTTTTTTTTACTCTTTTGGTTTAACATGTGATGCGGGGAGGTCAGTCATCAAAAGCAAGAACGAGCCATTGATGACTTAAATATCCTTCACTATGTTCATGCTTACCTTACCTTAAATTTCCATCAAACTGGTGCGACAACATGGCTTCATGAGTTACGCACTGTTGAGAAATATGCAGTTCATGTAACAACATTAAGAAACTGTGGAGCCATTTTGTTAGAAAAAGCCAATATGCATGAAGTGGGCATGGGTTCTAATGGAATTGACGATTTAATCCCTACCAATAACAGGGTTGATGTTGATGATGTAATACAAGTTATTTATTTACCATTTTTCCGTGTTTTAGGTACTCTTTAAAAAGAATGATGTATTGAAAATTGTTATTTTGGGTTGTTGGTGCAGGGTTATACGTATTCTGGAGATGCAAATGATACAGGTTTGCAACACTTTTCTTCTTTATTTCTGAGTGTCGCCATATCCTAGCTGTCACTTACTATCGTGTTTGTTTAGATTTTCTGAATTTTGATGATGACGAGGCTGGCAAACCTGATGGGGAAGAAATAAAAATGCTTTACGACAGTGGATGGTCTTCGCGTACAAGGTATGTAAATGTATATTCTATATTGTATATCAACATGTTTTACTTGATAAGTTAGTTATTGGTTATAGTATTTGTTGATAAGGTTTACATATTTATTTAAGAATATATGGTATGGGTATGGTAGGGCTGTTGCAAAATACCTGCAAATTATGTATGCCAAGGAAGAAGGAATTTGGTTGGTGTGAACAACCTGTTGACTGGAAAAACACGCAAGGAAGCATTAAGAATGTTCTTTGAAACACTGGTACATATTGTATTGTATTGTTATTGTATTTTATGCTCCCTCTTCATTGGATTTTAATATCACTATAAAGAAAAAAAAAGTAAAACACAAATATAATTTATTGAAAGTTTTGAAGACAAAGGATTACATCCATGTGGAACAGACGGATCCGTTTGAATACATTAATGTATTTCCACGCCCCAAGATTTTGAAATCAAAATTTTAAAGCAAAAAGAAAATGAAAGAGGAAGAGAATTTGAATGTGGTTACTTAGATCTTTGTTTGTTTAATGTCTCGGGAGAGTAAATTAGTTAGCTATGTTGTTTTGGTAGTTATAACATGGACTCGAGTCAGATAGATGAATCGTGTAGCAAACACACGTAATTATTATAATGGAAGTGATTGTAAATTCGTAACTAAAACAAGGGCATTTTTTGTCATTTTGTTGTCTATTGATGCTCTTTTGTATTGAATTCACGTCCTGCAGATGCTTCTAGGGCATTTCCACTTCATTTTGGGTTAACTAGTCCTGGTAACATGAATGTAATGCAGGTAAATGTTTATTGTGATAGAGACTTTTGTAACTAGAACAAGGGTATTTTTGTAATTTTGATCTTATGGATCGATAAAGGAAGATTTTTTTAGCGTTTTGGAAAATTACTTCCAACTCCTGAATTAAGACGATATATTACAAATCATATTTTGTTGTTTATAGGGATATTTTGATGCAATCTTGCTAAGGAGGAGACCATTGTTGTTGTTTTATCTGGTAAGTTTATGTGGCTTTATACTAATTTAATTTTAATTTTTTGTTGGAGAATACCAACATACTTCACTATTGCTACCAAATGGGCAATGTATTTTACTTTTTATCAATAACATAAATGTTTTCACATACATGAATAAAGTCTTTCTTTTTTAAATTGTCCGAAATTGAGTGGATGACCATTTTACCCTTATGTATAAGAATTTAATGCTCCAACATTACAACAGATAGCTTCAATTTTTTGAATTTCAGCTGACGAATTGGACTGCATCTTTTTGAGGACATTAATGGTACTTTATTGTTGCTTTGCTTTTATAGGACTATAATGTTGGTTTATCTCTTTATGGAGATAACGCTAAACCAAAGACATTCGCAACACGGTTTGCTATACCCGATGGGTAAAACTGTAATTTAAGTTTTATCTTTGTATTGTTTTGTGTTAATAGTTCTTATGCTATCTGTTTATCTTAGGCCCTGCTTCTCTTTCCCTATTACATCAAATGTTATATGAATAGTAATTTGTAACAGTTAGAACATAAAGCCTCATGTTCTTCACTTACTCTATTACCTTCATTTTTCTACGATTTGTAATTGTGTAGGTGGTGGATTCCATGTTGAGCTCAGTAGAAGATTCACAGAGGACACAGTATGCACTCTTTTAGCTTTATCATCTAAAATATGTGGTGTAACATGTAGGATTTTAGATCCAAATTTAGTTAAAAAACATGATGAATACACCAAGTTTTCATTAATAAATCTTAAACTTCTAGCTCTGGATAACTGCATTCTTAGGTTGCTTTTTTTTCTCATGCTCTTACTGTGTGTATGTCTGAAATTGGATTCCGCAACTGATTGATAATATATCAACATATGGACCAATCAATTGATCAATAATCCATTATTATCTATACTGTTAACAAATCCATACCCCGCAAAGCGGGGTTCCTCGTCTAGTTATTAATATTATTATTTTGGCATTAACCCAAACCATCCCATTACGGCGTTACCAAACCTGTTTGATCTGTCGATTTTAATGCCTTTCAGATTATATATATATATATATATATATATATATATATATATATATACACACACACACACACAGAGAGAGAGAGAGAGATGTTTATTTTACACCATGCTAATTTTGTAAGATATGGGGACGCAGATCCCAACCATTTATTTTGGAGATTAAAAAATAAAAAAATTGTAAAATGCAAAATAAAAGGAAAAATGCAAAAATTCGTTTTTTAAATATTATTTTTGTCATTTAATTTATCCAAAAAAAATTTAAAAATATAAAAAACTTAAAAAATTACACTAGAAATATTCAAATCGAATTATTAAAATATTAGAATATTCTAATATTCTACTAAACTTGTTAGATATGTTAAAATATTCTAATATTCGAGTAGAATTGTTAGATTTGTTAGAATATTGTAATATTCTATTAGAATTGTTTGAATATTTATAGTTTAATATTCTACTAGAATATTTCAATAATATAAAAATTCGATTTGAATATATTTTACAGTATAATATTCTATTAGAATATTTCACGTATATTTAAAAAAAAATGATAATTTGTTATATTTTTATTTTTATTTTTTTTGATAATATAAATGACGAAAATATTATTAAAATTTATTTATCCAAAATTTTTCATTTATTTTGCATTTTAAAAATATTTTTTTATCTCTAAAATGAATAGCTAGAATTGTGTCCCCATATGTCACAAAATATGATGGTCTCACATGAATATATATAGGGATATATACAGAAAAACACAACTAATTATATATGTATACGTTGAAAAACCCTTATATTATTTTTATGTTCAGAAAAAACACTTATATTAATAGTTATCGTTTGAAAAAGACCAAAATACGGGTTTTTAAGAGAAATTGACAACTAAAATCTAATGTTTTTTACATTTTTATTTTTTTAATACGACATTGATTTTAATTTGGGATAAAATGATTAGTTAAGAAGAGAAAAATCAACCATATAGATAACACAATCGAGTGAAAGTAATCCAAATGTATGTCGGTTTGACATGTTCTTGCATACAATCGAAGAAAATATAAGGGATATGTATATCATATCATATTTTTTAGCCGGTCATTTCTTTTAAAAAATTTACGATTTGGTTTTATTTGAAACGTCAATAATAATATAAGGTTTTTTCTGAACATAAAAATAATATAAATGTTTCCTACATATACATGTATAATTGATTGAGCTTTTTTGCATATATATATATATATA